ACACCGCTGCATCAGACTGTCTAGAAAGACACACCATCACTTTGTAGTTTGGTGGGGGGGGGGGGGGGGAGGAGGGCGGCAAGTTCATACAGAACACACATGTTCATACAGGATTCGGCACGGATCAGTCAGCAGGAGTGGAGACCATGCGCGAATGAGGGGCTTGCCCTTCCTAAACGACAAGTCACTTTGGGAAGAGGCCCTGAGTTGATATTAAAAGTTAGGCGTTATGCAACAGTGCACAAGATTGATTACTCAGAAAAATAAGGCATATATAAACACGGCACTAGGTCATTCATTAGGGAAATAATCTGCCCACAAATCTTCCGACCACATATTCAGTACAGGGGCAAGTATGAGGCAACAGTGTTACACACCAATGTAATATTTTTGAGGGAAAAAAAGCCATTCAATAAAAAAACAAGGGTTTTAAAATCATCTTCCTTTCATAAATTCCATCATAAAGTTTCTATTTTAATGCCAAAAGAAAATGCTTAAGAAATGTTTTAAGCAGAAAATGTGGCTCGTTCCTTCTGCAGAGAAGGATTTGTAGCTACTCACATACGTGTGTTACTCTAAAACAGGAAGTGAGCAGAACGAAGGTGCTTTTTTATCCAGATTAGACGGACAGATCCAAGATATGCATAGCAGACCCGGCAGTTAAGTCGAACGTCGATTTTTCTTTTTTCTTTTTAAAATTGGGCATAAACACAGCAACGCATCGAGGCTCGGTGGGCAGGAAGGGACGGCTCTCTGAGCACATCTTTGGAAGTCACTGGTTCATAAATCCTGGGGTTATTCCTGTCAGGGCTTGATCATACGACCGAAAACGAGAAGCATTATCTTCCCCGAGAGCAACCCCTCTTCATGACAACACAATGCAATTACGGTATCAAGTGTTACTTTTTGGACAGACGGAGGAAAGGGATCTTGCCCAGGAAACCAGATGTCGTGGAGAGGCCTGGGCCTGGGCCTCTGCAGAGGAAGAGCCAATTTTAACAAGCTTCTGCCCCGGAGCACATGACAAACTACACCCCCCCCCCCCCCCCCCCCCCCAAAAAAAAAAAAAAAAAACATTTAAAATTTCCAAAAATGCAATTTAAATTTGCACCCTAGGTAAGACTCTTGGGGGGCCCGTCGCAGCTGCCCCCCGCCCTCCCAGTCTGTCATTCTCCCAATCGAGGTCGGGACATCCCCACATCACAGCCCAAGCAGGCACTGCTGGGATTCCACAGGGTGATCACTCTCCATTCAGAAGGAGAGGCCTTCAAGAAGAGTTAGGCCTCTGTTAGTTAGGCCTCTGTGCCTGCGATCAGAAAGTTGCTGGTTTGAGTCCCGTCCTTGGCAAAACAGTCACATCACCCTTAGGCCCTTCAGCAAGGCCCTTAATCCCCTGAAAAATGCTCCAGATGCCCCGGATACATGGCCTGGTTCCCCGCACTCAGACGCCAAGCTTCTCTCTTAACTCTATTTACTGTATATGTGTCTCAAAGAATGGCATGATGAGATATGTGAAAAGAAGCATCCCAAGGTACCTGTACTCAGACGAAAATGTCAAATAAAGCATCATCATATACCCTAACAAATACAAACATGCACATGGACAAAGAAGAGTTCCTGAAAAGGCTACATACGGCGAAGCTCACTCCAGCCTGGTACACGCCGCAAGTAAGACGTGGATTCCAACAGTCCAGGGCTTCTCCCTTGGAGCTCGGCAAATGGGCTTCCAGTTTCAATAAGAGGGGGCCGAAATTTATGCCAGCTGGTCCGGTTGTAGAGCTCGCAGGCATGGGAATGGCCCTATGGCCGCAGCCTGGATCCAGCTGCGTGTGGAACGACTGATGGCCGAGTAACGCGCATAAATCCCGAAAGGGTGCGTGCCGACCCCACACCAGCACCAAATAAGCGTTATCACTTACAGATACATTACAAATTAACTGTAAAAGTAAAGCAACCACAATAAAACGTGCTTAAAGTACCAGCACTGAAAGCCACGTGTTTTTAGGTCTGCCTCCTTTCCACCTTCCCTGTTAGGCTGAACCTCTTTCCACCCATCAGTAACCAAAAAGTAAATTCATATTCACTGCAGTGACACATGGCAACAAAATTAAATAATTAAAGTAATAATAATAATTAAAGTAAACAGCACTAGTGGGTAAAATGATCGTTACAATAACTCATATTTTGAACCAGGTTTATTCTTTTGCAAATCAGGAATGCCTTTCAGTCGGCAGGGAAATAGCCCTGCAATTCCTTAATGTAACACAGTAAATAACGCGATTCTTAAAGGACTGCACACTCGAAAGCCCTTTGGGGGAAAAAGGTGTGTAAGTCGCTGATTTATGAGATGCTACATCTAAACTGACAAGGCGGCAAATATAACAAAAGGTGAAACTTTGAACACAAAGGCGTTACAATGTGGCTGACATATTTGATTTTTACCCTTTTGCAAAACAAAAAATGCCAGTGAGATACAAAAAGTAAAACAACAAACTTGAAAACTAAAATAAAAATGAGTAGAAATTAAAATTCTATTTTTAACTTCTATTTTTTGAGTTTAAAAGCCTGCTTGTAAGCTATCAGATGTCTCTCTGACGCTATAATCGACGCTGAGCATAGCCTATGATACGCATCAAATACACAAAATTACATGTGCCTATGCGAGATTAAACTGTGTTTCGGGCGAAGAAATTAGACTAGACTAGTGCTCTGAAAGCACAAAAACTTAAATATACATAATATATCGGTTAAAATATCGGTATTGGCCGATATCCATTGATAAAGATATTGGCATTGGTCTGATGTTTCAATCTTAGCCGATATTTTAACTTGTCAATATTAAAAGTTAGCGTCACTAGCGCTTTAACGGAGATGACTGCATCAAACAGTCAGCTATTTTCCGTAATGGTACCTGTGGAATTTCGTCGGCTCATTTACCACTTAGAAGAGGTCACGACATACAAGCCCATGAAATGTTTTTAATTCACTTTGAATTCTGGCCCGCAGACCGATCTTTCATTTTCTAAAGAGTAAAAAAAAAAAACGATGTACGGTCACTTCACTAATTTGTGCCGGTAAACACAGCAAGTTTTCAAGTTTCATCGCCGGTAACCGTACGACTTAATACGCACCGATCTGTATGTGGTAAACCACAAAAAATGTATGTGTAAAAATAACGGAACAAATTACCTTGGCTTAACGTGACATCATAAATAGAGCCCTATGAAAAATGCAGTGTGAGGTAACGGAGGGTGAATACCCCATACCTTCCTAGCAGGCCTGTTTTTAGCTGGACGCCCCCACTGTTTTCCTCCACCCCCAAAGGTATCGGGTCTGCAGCATGGACCATAACACTGCCCACTAACTTAGAAAGCTGCCAAATGGAAAACAGCAGAGACACTCATACCCCACAGCTTTTTGTTATAAATCCTCGTGTACGTAAATAAATCATGTAGGCCACCGGGCGGGAACGCGTTCCAGCACTTAGACAAGGAGCCTCGTGTTGAGTGCGTGTCACGACCAATTAGCACACCCATAACAGTGAGCGCCTCCGACGAATTTCACATGTGAGGAGGGAAACCCGGTGACGTTCGTATGGATGGCGTGTTTAACGTCAGCAGCCTAATTACCCGTGTGGAAAAGCACATGCTTTGTGTAGGCCTACGGGAGCCGGGAATCAGTCATGCTGCATTAAGCCCGTGACGTTTGACTCGCATTCACGTGATTTCTACTCCCACAACGGTAAAGTGCTTTGTTTGCAGGCACACAGCACTCTAGATATAGCACTACTCATGTATCTCAAGCCTGTACTCGGGGAACCCCATACAGTCCACGTTATATAGATTTTCTGGCAGGGAGCTAGGAGGGAGCAAAAACATGGACTTTCTGGCAGGGAGCTGGGAGGGAGCAAAAACATGGACTGTCTGGGGGTCCCCGAGCACCGGGTTGGGAAAGTTTATACTGCACAAGCGCCCTGAGAAATGCACGACAGCTGCATGTTTACTATGGCATGTTGAAGAGGCAGTCACATGGGACGGTACATCTACTGTCATCAGAAGATATCAACACTCTTCAACACACACCACAGAATTCCTCTCATGAAAAACTCATCACCCACAATATATGCTGATGCGAACGCAGCCATTCTAACATGTTCGGTAGGCTTGGACAGCATTAAGGTAATAGGTCACCTGCTGTATTTTGAAATCTTGCCGAATTTAATTGCCAACATTTCAAAAAGTCGGAATAGCATTGCTTTCGAAAATACCATCAAAATACCATACGCCATGGTAGAATGTTTGGACAGTACGATGGTATGAAAAAAAGTGGTGTTGTTGCTCTGTTCCTCCCAATTACACAACATTCACAAGTACAAGAGGGCAAAGAAAAACCCATGTTGCCATGTGGCAGAGAGAGAGCGACCTTTGACCCCCCATAAAGATGGCAGCCACTGTTTCCTCACACAATGAGGGCCCTGTATTCCGGGTCTCGGACTGGCAGAGATCGGGAAGGACCATGTTGTGGCGCGGGGCCCCACCCAGGCCTACGCGTGAACAAATAAAACCGTTCAGTGTCTGCTAGACACCTAGTGCTGCCTCAATCGTTAAGTCTAGGTTTAGACTGCAAAAAAGCAAATAGTCCACACATTATCCCAGTGATAATAAAGACATCGAGTGGTTAGTTATGATATTTATTTTTGCTTGAAATACTACGTCGTAAAAATTCGCATGCCATGGGCCAATAACGGAATGTCTTGTATTTCGGTTTCAAAACATTTTTGCTCGACAACTGCCGCAGGTTGTTCAGGCACAGCTGTTTTCCGACTATGACTGGAAAAATGCACAACGCCAACTCTGGGTTGATATTTGGTTGGCCACCAAAGTTCTCACCGTACTTACTTGCGTGTTTATTTATTTAAATTCAGAACACTGGAAATTTATTTGATAAATGCAAAATTACGTTGTGTTGTGAATCACAGAGCACCTGTAGGGGCAGCTCACCTCAGCGCCAGAGTACTTCTTGGTGCGGATCACCAGGTCGTCCAGGCTCACGTCGTTGGCAATGGGCATGCTGCGGAACTGGAGCCTGAAGATCTCTCGTCGTGTGGCTGCGTCCGGCAGCGGGACATAGATGATGCGGTCTAGCCGGCCTGGGCGCATTAGGGCCTGGGGAGAGAAGGGAACAGAGGAGGGAGGTGAGGTTACTGAGACCTCTGCAGTCTGGGGTGGACATGGAGCAAAGCACGAGTCTGATTGGTCCAAAACAGCCCGGCACTGCGCTCACCACGTTCCTGAACACTAAATGTCCTCATTTAAGTACATAAAAACTGATGCAGGAAAAAGGCTATTTCAAACAATTTATGTTTAAATTGTGTCTTTTCAAGGTAGGAGCATAGAGGAGAACACCGTTAGACAGGGAGAGCTGACTCTCCCCAATCAGTGCAGTATCAAAACAAAAATGGATTCTGTTTTGGTCTGATCCTGACATTTCAGGTATTTGAAAGAATATCACCATCGAGTAACAATCTCAACAAACGCAAGGAATGTAGATGACAGGAGTTAAAAGCATTTTTTAGACGGTACAACATCTTCATATGTCAATCACAGCATACTGCCAAAAGGCACCTGGGAGGTTTTAGGTTAAACTCAATTTTTAATTGACTAGGACAAAAACAATAAAAAAGGACATACAACTAGCAAGTTACCTAGCTGAGCGGAGAAGTAAGTAACCTGCCGATGTGCAGCTCAGCCTGTAAAGCCCCTGTGTCTGCGGTCATAAGGCTATCGGTTTAATGTCATGCTCAGCAGGTAATCACATCTCCGTCGGGCCCTTGAGCAAGTTCCTTAACTCCCCCCCCCCCCCAAAATGCACCAGGGGCTGCCAGATAAATAACCTGACCCTGTGTGTGGATCCCAAGCTCCCAAGCTTGTGCATGTCTCCACGGAGAGCATGATGGGATATGCAAAAACGAAATAATTCCAATGTACTTGTGCAAATGGCAAATAAAGCATGATTTTATTTGGTCACAGGCCTCCTCCAGATTCAACAGCATCGCCACATAAAACAAGACAGAAAGAGTAGGACCCAACCTACTCCTCTCCCCACCAGACTGGGGGGGGGGCGGGGGCGTGGGGGCCTATTCCAGATTACATGGGGCACAAAGCAGCGGAGACCCTGGGCGGGGATGCCAGTCCATCGGGGCAAAGCCACCAAACTGCACAAACAGAGTGGAGGCGGGATTCAACCCCCCCCGTGAGGATGTGGGAAACAGCAGTGCCAACCCATCGTGCTACGAATATCAAAACAGCCCAGTGTGACCTGCAATGGCACCAAGTCGAACAAAAAAAGAAAGTCATTTCCTAAAACGGGGAGTTGAAGCCGTGCACTTCATGCGATTTTTTTTTTCGTTTTGTTTTGCAAAAACAGGGCCGGGTGACGTGGAAACACGGCCTCTGTCATCCCCATCCCCACCGGGGAGCAGCCTGGGACACTTCCCGTGCTGCTCTCGCGGGTACGTGCGTGTGACACATACCGCCACAGACCCCACGACCCTGCGCATATTTTCCCACTCCTCCTGAGGTCTCATGTGTGCAACTAAATGGCTCCTAAACACAGGAAAATGGAGAAAATTTCAACATCGCCAGCTGTTTCAAAGCCTCTTACACGATCACATTTAATAAACAGTGCAGGGAACATGAAATATTATGGAACTATTTCATGTATTTGAATTTTTCTTGTGAGGGGAGCATATTTAATTACAACATATACTTGCAAAATGCTTCTGCCTCTCAGTCTGAATACTGTAGATTACAGCACAATGCCCCAGAAATGCTCTTCGCGAAAACATACATCCATAACTTGCAGAGAGGCACTGACATCGGCCAGCGACCTGGGGATAAAAAAACAAAAGAAGCCTGCATTGTTGAAGGAAAACCAAGACAGGAAGAGTAATAAGAAAGGCTGTAGGGCAAGCAAGTAATCCTCCTGTTCACATTAATCATACGACAGCCCATAATTGCACAGGGCTTATGAGCTGGGTGGAGCCCGTTGCAGAAACCGTACTATCTGCCTGGACTCGCTCTCTGAAGACAGGAAGTTACTAATGTTGTTTTTTTTTTTGTTTTTTTTTTAAAAATATATATATATATAGTATATCCTGCACACACTGACAAACGCTTGCATATATGTTTAAATGGAAAATCCATCACAGGCCACCTCTGTGCCTCTAAACTGCCTCTACGCCTCCATTAGAGATCCGCCCCAACGCGCCGGCGGTGTGACATCTCAGCGTAGGGATACGACCGCGCGCGGAACGCACGCACCTGCGAAACCCCACCGCCGAGGCGGGAGAGCGACTGCAGAACTCATTTCACTGGCTCAAGGCGCAGAAAGCCCATTCTTCCTCTGCACAAGGCAGGGCCATTCATCAGCTTACAGAGATACTTCCTGTTTTCAGGCAGTTCAGGAGGTAGAACTTCCAACCTAAATACTTGGCTTGGCAAGTTTGGCCCAGAGCTGACGGGTGTTTTTATAACTACCCCGTTCCACCTGAAACTAGCCGACCCCCCTCCAGCACACAGCTGGGGGAGGGAGCGGGGGGGGGTGGGGGGTTAACCAACAATGTACTGACGTTTCACACCTTATACAAAAGTACAAACAATCACATTAAAGCTGCTCCACAGAATTGTAGTATCCGTAAACATCACAAACACTTAATCATCACTAATGCAAATCTGTAAAAAATTTATATTAAGAAGCTACTTCAGGCAAAAACTGGAATCAGCTTGTACTTTAATCAGCGCAATCACTACCTCACAATAAGAGACAAATTGGTTCTGGATAGCAGCAGCTTGGGGCTGAACACGCGTGGGGAAAGCTTCCGATGCTCCGACCACTAAACACCCCCCACCCCACCTCGCCCCCCCCATCCGGGAGCCGTGAGCACAGACGCCACTCAGCGACTCCCGTGAGTGTCACTGTCGCTTCATGTCACATGATAATTACACGCCTGCATCCAGGGCGTGGAAACGGAGCACAGGGCAGCCGGGGAACAATAAGGATGAGCATAATTACACGTTTGAGCCCATGAGCGCAGGAATGTTTGTGCCACAACATATTGTCGCTCGCTAATTCATAAAATATGAGGTTCCCGTTTCGCAACGCGCGGCCCTGTGAAAATACACAACGGCCCCGAACAAGTATAAACATCATTATAACAGCCTTCCACGAACGGTGACCAGCGCCAGAATATTTCAAACAAAAGCCTCGATACGGCACAAAGTTTAATCCCTGTTTTGTCACCCAGGCTGATTAAAACCCCGTAAAAGGTAATCAAATCGTCGTCAGCCAATTTTTACTAATGGTGGCACGTATACAAACTCGGTGAACTCCGGAGAGCGAGTCGCTTAGTGACGCAGTTTCACCGACCCGTCCGGCTGGTGACGGCACACAGAGCGCCTTCTCTAAGTGCGAACCATGTCTGGAATGAGGTCCCCACGTTAGCCCAGTGGGCCGGGCTTCTCCTTCCGTTTCCCATCATGCTTGTCTTCTCCGTCAGTGTTTAACAAACATGTCTCTCTCGGTTGGCTCGTCTGCCTGGCATTGAGGAGGTGGGGGGGGCATCAGTTGAGCACTGAGCCAAAAGGCACCCACTGCACACCATCACCCAAGCTGTTGGTCTGCGCTCCACGGCGCCACCTACTGCCAGATCGTGGAGCTGCACCGCACAAGAGAGCAAGACACCAGCAGCATAGGGCCAATGGTAGAATGTGGGCCAGCGGATCTGACCTCTTACAGTGCAGTACGGTGAACAACATGGATTCAGGTACCAATATGGATTCCAAGGACAGATTTGCATGCGTACAGCATCAACAGGAACAGGGAGCAGACCCAGGCCCTTCAGCTACACACAGCATACCGATCTTAATTATCACTCCAAGCCGTCTTCTCTGGGCAGGGGGGGGGGGAGACTGGAGCTCATGATTGGCTTATGCACATGACGAGCCTCACTCTCACTGCTCTATGCCATGTGCACAGTCTTCATACCTACGGTTAATAAGCTGCTAATACTCCACCACTTTTCCCCGGGGAGCCGGGCTGTCTGGCAGAAAGCCAGACAGGCGGGGGCCCCGATTCCGACTGGCGGGAGTCACCACTGGGTAAACTGCGCTCCCATGAAGCCCACTGCTAACTGGCTGCGGCAGCAGGGGTCCTAGGGGGTCAAAGAGGCCTTCGCTAGAAGAGGCAGAGGCGCGTTCTTCAGCCTGCCATTTACTCCGGTGTGGTGTTCATTTCTGCTCTGCTCACTGCCAGAGGGCGTCGTCAGCAACCATGGCAGCCACCCCTCCTTCAGAAGGGCCATCGGTACCTTCTGTCCTAAAGGTACCGAACCAGGCAGACTTCACTGGGTGTTAGCAAAGGATTCCCACAAAACTGTACAGGGCTGAGCGTGGAACTTGTGTTGCAGGAGAGATCCTATGAGTATCTGAATGTGACAGAAGACCCAGGGTGACAGACCGCTGGCTCAGTGGATGAACAGGGACATTTACGTCCCTGCAAGGTGACGACCAGGGAAAATCCCCCGTCAGCTGTGTGCAAGAGTGGTTGATTACACTCAGGTTTTCCATTTCAACCCTTCAATGCACTGTTTCCCAATCCGGTCCTTCGGGACACCCAGGAAGTCCACATTTTTGCTATCTCTCAGCTCCCAGCAGAGCAAAAACGTGGACTGTCTAGGAGAAAGCAAAAACAGACTGTCTAGGAGAAAGCAAAAACGTGGACTGTCTAGGAGAAAGCAAAAACGTGGACTGTCTAGGAGAAAGCAAAAACGTGGACTGTCTGAGGGGCCCGAAGGACCGGATGGGAAAACGCTGCTATAATGAATTCTTATACACAATTACCTGGAAAAAAAATTGAGCCTGTTTTGCTCACTAAAAATGAAAAAACTTATAGATGATCATTTCAATAAATCTTTAACTATTAAATAGTGAATTAACTGCCTGAACAAAATTGTAATTTATTTCATTTAATAAAGCAATTCTGTAAATTTTCTGCATAAACAAAATGGTAACAGCTCTGTGATCTCGGCTGTCTGGTACTCCCTGGCTGACTTTGACTTGACGTGTTTTTGAGTCAGTTGAGTAGCTAGCTAAGCGCGCTGCTTCGG